AAATCTTGTGGTGCTTAATTTTAGTAGCATCACTAATATGAAGCACTATTATAGGATGGATGGATGGATGGACAAATGGATGGGTGGAAGCATGGATGGATAAAGTAAATATTTTTTCCTAAATACCCATCACCAATATGAACAACACTGTGTGTGCCTAACATCCCTGACTCAGTGGGAAGGCTGGAGATGTCATGCATATGAGCGCTGGGAATGGGTTATGATAGATCACTCCCGAGCCCCTTACAATTTGAAATTCAAAGATATCATAATTCTCATTAATTAGGCCAAGACCAGGAAACTTTCAGCTAAATAACTAATTTGTCTCGTGTCAATGTCTAAAATTCTATTTGTATTTTTCATTATTCAAGTAAAGATACGTTAATTGCACACCCTCTACCTGAAAGTTCTAAGTACTGAGAGAGATGAAGACAAAGACTGGTGCGACGGAGTCCTTGTTCTCAAAAACTGGTACAGCCACTATACAAATGGCAGTAATACAAGGCAGAATAAGATAAATGGGATAAAAGAGGTACAAAGCCATTTAACAGCACAAAAGAGTGAGAGATAAATTTTTATTAGAAGTTCATGGAAGACGTGATATTAAAGATACTTTTTGAAGGATAGATAGAAACTGTTGCAGGCAGAGACCATGCAGTATGTCTTCATATTTTACCTCTAAAAAAGTATGCATAGCTCATAAACTCATTTTGTGCTCATATGTGTCATTTTACAGAAGTGAGGTATGAAACCGTATTTCCAATATGTGTGTTAACATCTCTAAAGGCAAGTCATGTATGCAACTCTCCTAGGTGCAACTGTGTCACATGGAATATTTTTATCTTGATAGCTATATTATAGATAGGGGTTTTGTAATAAATATTCAGGGACAGAGGTACATTTTTTAAAAAGTAAGATTGGGATAAACTGATGAATATTTACATGCTCTGCGTTAGAAGTGATTAAATTACCACTTCAAAACGCATTATATCATGAGTGTGACTGGTGATGTGCTAACATGTACACAACATTCACAAAATATTAAAAGTATGTATACATAAAGCCACAATTGTCCTTGATATAAATACGTGTATATATTGGAAGTAAAATTAAACTCTATTTTGTAAATCTGCTTATGTATTTGACTCAATAGATTCAGTATTTACTACAATTACTTGAAAATGAAAATTCTCTTTCTTACAGCCCCTTATCCACCTCAAAATATTTCTGTTCGTATTGTAAACTTGAACAAAAACAATTGGGAAGAACAGAGTGGCAGTTTTCCAGAAGAATCATTCATGAGATCCCAAGATACAATCGGAAAAGACAAGGTCTTCCATTTTACAGAAGAAACTTCTGAAATTCCTTCTGGCAACATTTCTTCTGGTTGGGCTGAGTTTAACAGCAGTGATTACGGAACTACATCTCAGCCATATTGGTGGGACAGTGCGTCTGCAACTCCTGAAAGTGAAGATGAATTTGTCAGTGTACTTCCCACGGAATATAACAATACACTCAGTGGGATGGAGAAGTCAACATCAGCCTCTTTCTCCTTTCTCCCTGTGCAAATGATCTTGAGCTGGTTACCACCAAAACCACCCACTGCCTTTGATGGGTTCCATATTCGTATTGAAAGAGAAGGTAAAGCAGTAGGAAATCAGAGGAAATAAGAAATGGTACAAAAGAAAGGAAATGGAAATGTTTTTAAATTTGAGTTTAGAAAGAAAGACTGATGGTAGATAGTTAATATCAAAATAATAACGGTAAAGAAATGGAAGAACTTAATTAAGTATCCAACAAGGAATGAGAACAGAAAACCAAAATGAATAGGTTGGATCCAAATCTGAAGTTTTGGGTGATTCACAAGATCCGTCTATACACATTTCACTGCCCAATATTTCACATACCTCAGGACACTGAGGAAAACCTTATATTTGGAAATATTTTGAATTAAAGATCTAAGCATCGCAGAATATCCTAGAGAAATTTTCTTTTTTCTTATATGAAAATTTGTGAAACATGCAGTAAAAAATCTTTCTGGCAAAATGAGTACTCCCCCAAGAGCATAAGGCCCAAGTCCTGCTTACCAATTACTCTTATTCCCTTGAGGATGTACCCCTCTGGAACCAGCACCCAAATTTTTCCAAAGAAGAGCCGATAGCAAAATAGAAAATACACAGCAACTAGTATTTCCACTCTAGTTACTATACTATATCTTGTATTCACTTATGCAGCCTTTGAGATTCATACTTTATATTTTAGTCCACTAATTTATGAAAGCAGAGCCATGGCATTCAGCAAATTTGGGTCATGAAGTATATCTCAGTTGTTGCTTGGTAGATTTTTATGGTTATTTGTTGTTTGTTTTGTTTTTACAGTAATATATTTCATTTTATATTTTCCAATCTAGTAGTTTGGGTGGCAAAGGTTCTTAAGTTGTGAAAATTTGAAGTCATTAATAACAGCCTTATGTTCAGGGTGGGACATTAGAATCATGTAGTCTTATATGTAACATATTGTTTTCTCCTATTTTATTTGATAGAATGAGATATAAAATCTGTGGATTCTTCTATGCTAGATGAGAGAGCATTTAATCATACCTAAATATTACATGAAATTGAAATCCTTTGTCACTACCAATTATTTGAGTCAAAAGTCATTTGCCTGGAATTGCTTATATTAAAAAAAAAAGTTCCCTTCATCTGTCTTTTATTTTTCTGTTCCTCAATATAATCTATGGGAAATAGGATCTTGTAACTCAGAATTTTTTTACAGCCTGTTTCCATGAAGGTTCTATCATGCTTTTATCTGACGACAGAGTGTTCTTTTGAGGGCTATGATAGTCACCATCTGATGACGTGACTTTAAATGAAGTAATAAGCAGCAGGAGATGAACTGTGAAGCAATGTCAAGTAATTCTTACTTGTAAAAGTTCTGGAAGCAAAGAGACGAAGGAAAAATATTACAAGTGTCATAAAATTTATCCGGAAGAATTATTTCTAGCTGGAAATAATTCAGTATATTTTAAAGCATTCCTGGGTATTTAATGCTACCACAAAGACTTTATATTTGGTGCTGGTTATTTCTTAATCCCTTCTATCCAGTTGAGAGAGCCAATGATTGTTATGTTCTCTTAACATTCTCCTTCTATTTTTTGCACATAATTTTTTTGGTTAAGAGTACATAAGGATATGCAGTATACACTCATCCCTAATTTTATATATTTGGACACCATGCTTTAGTTTTGTTATTTAAAAGTATTATGAAAAAAATTGAACTCTTCTTCATCTTTCTTTTATAGCTTAGAGGTATAGGAAAGAATATAAAAAATACCTATTTTTTAAATTAATTGACTTGTCTATACCCAGGGCCCTTCCAGGTATCCATTGATGTATCTTCTCTTTTTTATATACGATTTAGAGAACTTTACTGAGTATTTGACAGTGGATGAAGAAGCACATGAATTTGTTGCAGAGCTGAAGGAGCCCGGGAAATACAAGTTATCTGTGACAACCTTTAGTTCTTCAGGAGCTTGTGAAACTCGAAAAAGTCAGTCAGCAAAATCACTCAGCTTTTATATCAGTAAGTAGCAAAAAGATTATTTTGCACTTACAGGGGCTCTAGAACAATCGGAAACTGGTGAGATTAATGATGCTCAGATATCAATTATTCACGGACCTTAGGGATCCTGGGAATTCTTCAAGGTCAGGAGAGGCCCCAATCCATGAGCTTTTGATAGCAGAGGAAATATATGTATGTTTAATAGTAGCAAACCTACCCAGGGATTTAACTTCAATATTTTTTTTTTATAATTGTGATGATTGTACATTTATTAAACTGACCTTCTGCACTCGCCATAACAAACTCTCCAAGGATATGGACACGCAGTTTGCGCCATAATGAAACATTAGATAGGATTGTGTGAAAAATCTCATTAGAATATCGAGCTTTTGGAGGTCAAAAGAAAGACAAAGATTCAAATGTAGTTATAGCCAGGCAGTCTCCATAAAATTGGCAGGAGAAGCCAAAGCTAGAGCTTCCTAAAAGCCCAATGTCAAGTCTTAGGGCAGCTTCTACTGATCGCATAGGGCAAAAGCAGAGTGGAAGCTAGCCTCTAAAGGCTGCACATGTTGCATTTCTCTACAACACATTCAGCTAACCTATGTGTCCTGGAAGTTTAGAGGCCAAAAATCAGTTACCAACTTTTCAGGAGTTAAATGTGCCTCTGATCAGCAGAAAGAAAAACCAGAAGGCAAGGAATAAAAATTAGTCTCAGAAAAGGATAACCACCTTTCCATTGCCTTCTCCAAAGGCAAAATACTATATTTCATTAAATAATTCTCAAAAAGGTGAGTGGGAGGGGAAGGATAAGGGCAGAGGGAGGAGATCAGTTTATGTAGCAATTTAAAAAGGTTGAAAATGTCTCATCTGACATTTTTACTTAAAAAAAACAAAAATGTCACTGCTGGCAAAAGGCCTAACATATCCATCAGACGTGCAGAAAGTGTATTCATAATTGCCTTGCGTGTGTTTCAAGTGTGGGAGATCTTGGACACGAGCTTACTTGAGAATGAGACCAAAATCGAGTATTCAGTTCTTCCCATGAGGCTATCCCCATTTTTCATGTAAAAAAATGCCAAGTCTCAGAAAATTCAGTGATTTTCCCAAGTGTCAGAACGAAGATTAGAACCTAGGAATATTTGATAACAAAATCTATTTCTCTACAGCCTGCAATGACCCCTTACGTTGAGTTGATTATCAGGTCAGTACTAATGTACAACTATTAAATAAGTGAATTTGTTCGCTTCCTCCCACTTCCTTTCTGTGTGCCCCCGCTATACCAGTACCCTTCAAAACAGTAACTACACTTTTCAGTTGTATATTTCTCTATTCTATATTGTCTTATTGATCCCAACAACAACCTTGTGAATAGATTAATAAGAAGGCATCATGATATGTCGTCAGAAAGCACTGACTCGGGGGCAGATCTGGGCTGTGTCATTAGCTCTGTGACATTAGGCAGGTCATTCACATCTCTGGCTTCAGTTTCCCCATCGGTAAAATAAGGCACTGGATCTCTAAAGTTCTTTTCAATTTGAACTTCCCATGATTTTTCCATTTGACAGATGCAAACACTGAGATTCAGAGAAATTAAATCATTTTCCCAAGGTTGCATCACTAATAATGAGCAAAACTTAGTCTTGGCCCAATTTTCATATCTCCAAACTTTTCACTATTTCACAGTGCTTCAAAAGTCTTATGCAGGATTAGGAGCATGGATTTTGGAATCAGACTTCCTGTGTATGAATCTCAGCTCTACTTACCCTATTTCTCCCTCAGTTTCCTCCTCTGATAAATGAGATTTAATGGTGGTACTTATAGGCTTGTTATAAAAATGAAAGGATTAAAATATGTAAGCACGTATAAACTTAAAACAGAGCCTAGTATATAGTAGGTGCTATGTCTTTTTGCTATCATTATCATTTTATTATTATTATTATTTCCCTTGCACTATTTACACTGAGCCGAAGTCTGCCCTGCCCAGCAAAGCCACTTGCTCCTTTCCCTCTCCCAGGTTTCAGCCTAGGAATACAGCCGGTTCGATTAAGGAACAGAGAAATGCGTCGTAAGCAAATAAAAGGAAGTTGCACATTTGCATTTCAGCAGGGAATTTCTGCAGATAATCATCGCCTTAACATTTCTTGAGTCCTTCCTACATGTCAGGCATTTGCTAAAAACCACTTTAGAAACTCAAAAGAACAAAGCTAATGGTGGGCACTTCTGTGGGGTTATTTTGTGGTAAGGAACCTATCCTCTCCCTCAAATTATCACCCAGGTTTCAGCCAGCTTCTTTAACTGATGCAGCCTGCTGCCTGTTTCTTCTCTAATACAGTCCCAGCCTGCCTCTTTGCTCCTGCTGCCGCCAAATTTAAATTTTTTTATAGAATAGTAGTAGAGGTTAATTTGAATTTTAGAGTAATTATTTCTGGGGACTAATGACCCTACTAGCAAAGGAATTATACACATTGGTGAATGCCACACTGCCACACCCACTCTTTTTTCAAAAAGAAGTAAATTCTCTCTGAAGAATTTACCAGAATACTCTCAAATAGATGTGCATGATGACTGAAGTGGAGCTCCCGGCTTCCAGCAGAACCATTTTTGTTGTCGCTGTTGCTGAGGCTGCTGTCGTTTAGATCGGGTGAGGTCATGGAGTTGGGATTGCAGCTAGGCAGAAGATCTAAAGAGTTGCCAGTCAGACTGCCAATCTTACTTTGGACCTCTTTGCAAGGGCAAAAGGAAAACAGCATGATTTTTAAAACTAGGATCTTTTCTGTCAACCAGCTCAGTGTGCAACGTCCCTTGTGTTCTCATTTGCAATGCTCAGGTCCTTCAGGAGAGTGGATTGAAGAGTTGACTGAGAAGCCCCAGCATGTGAGTGTCCATGTTTTGAGCTCGACCACTGCCTTGATGTCCTGGACGTCTTCCCAAGAGAACTACAACAGCACCATTGTGTCTGTGGTGTCACTGACCTGCCAGAAACAAAAGGAGAGCCAGAGGCTTGAAAAGCAGTACTGCACTCAGGTAAAGGAAAGGAAACACGGACGGAAACACCTGTCCTACTAAAACGCAGCCTCGCAGGGCAATGCAAGGAGGCAGTTGCAGGAAGCAGGGCTGAGGTCTGTCCGGGTGGGCGTGTTGTAAGCCATGTTACCAAGGGCCACGAGAGGAGCCAGGAACGAGAGGGAATGGCTCTTCAGTTCCCCTGTCATTTTCCTTTCCCTTCATAGGAGGGCCCTGTTCCTTTTACTTTCACCCCTTATTCAAGAGAATCTGCTGAGCACCCGTCATGTGCCAGGTACTAGGATAGATGTTGGAAATCTAGGTAATTTTTAAACACCCTGCTCTTGCAGAGTTTATAATCTAGTGAGAACAATGAATACATGAACATAGAATTACTACACCACACAGAACAAGGCTTAGGCTAAAAACAAATGAAGAGAGGCCAGATGAGTTCACAGGAAGAACCAGCAGAGCATGAGAAACATGGTCGGGTGCGTTGAGAGAGTGGGGTTAGGACAAGGGGATTTGGAAATTGGTCAGAAAAACATCCCAGGGGTGGAGACAACCAACAGAGGGTTTGAGGGATTTTCGTTTGTTTGTTTTACTTTTTCCATTCTTTTAATTTTTATTTTGACTATAAAAGTAACATATGCTCAGTGAAAAAACAATGCAAAAATTAAAGGTATATAAAGTAACAAAACGCCTCCCTTACCAATCATAACTGAGAAGAGGCAGAGACAGTGTGCAAACTGGCGATCCTCTGAGTGGCTGACAGAGTGAATGCACACACCCAGTGCCCACCCCCAGTGAAACTGCAACGTGAGCTGAGAGTCCACCTGGCTCTCAGATTCCCTAAGAACCTGGGGCCCAGTCCTATTTTCCCAAAATCCGGTTTTATTTTAATTTTTTATGAGGTTAAATTTGGCGGGTTTTGGTGTCTTAGAAACACATTTTCTTCCCTAAAGGCAAAAAAAATTAAATTATCGATTCATGGAGAGTACATTGGAAACGTAATACTCAGAAAACATGTTTGCTATGTGAAAGCTATTTGAGATTTTCTATTCCTCCCAGGAAAATTAGGCATTTAATGAAATTCAAACAATGAGAAATTTTAAGTTGGCAAGATGAATTCAGGAATTGTAGCCTTTGGAGCACTACAAAGCCATAGAATGCTGAGATAAGCCCTTACTTGAGAATGAGGCTACCCGTTGACTTGAATTAAATTAAGGAATAAATATGCTAAACTGATTAACCAGTAATCACAGCTCATTGTGCAGCTTATTAGCGTCCTTCTCTGAGCATACCCAAGATGACTGACACTTTACAGTGATAGAAAAAGGTATTTCCCTACAGACCATGACTTAGAATTCAACTGCTGCAAAGTGCATTTTCTTCCTTGCTCTACCTAATATACAAATTACACGTCTTTCACATAAGAAGCCCACGGCTAAAGGTACAGATAGATAGGGCCAAGGGAACCCCAGAGAAACCTTAAAACTGAGTTTCCAGCCATGACAGGATCGAAGGTCAGATACGCGTCATTATATCCCCTCCCTTGCTAATGGCCATCAGGCTTTTTTCCTAAGGGCTAAACAGAAACCAATGTTGATTTCCAGACCAGCGCTCTTTTCTGATAGGAGACCACCAACCATGGAGTGGTTTTAACCTGTCTACCAAGCATGCGCAGAGGGTTTTCTCATCTGCTTCCCCTTTTGACACCAGAGGCAGCCATTTTCTGAGCATGGAGCTCCATGGCACAGGCAGGTGTTTATCATGACTCCTCTATAGCTTGTTAGATATTTATATTTGACCATCCCGCTCAGTATAAATTCTTTTCCTATTGTCCCTGACTCAAAGCACGTGTTCCTGGCTTCTGGCCAGGGCACTGCTTTCTAGCCTGTTGGAATGGGCCACCCATAGGCTACGGTCCTTTGTGAGAAATAAAGCTCTTCTTTCCAAATTAGGAACATCATCATTTTCTTCAGTTAACACAGCCTAGAGTCATGTGGCCATTAATCAGAGGAATCTACAAGATGTCGTCAGCAGGATGGGTTTAACTTGGGCTTTGGGCTTATTTCCTAAAGCAACCATTATGCAGAACAAAAAATAAGAATATTTTTTTTAATTCTATATTCAATGGTACTATGTTTATGTTAAATAAAAGATTCAAAATGTGGCTCTTGTTGGAGAAAAAGCTATTCAATGATACTTATTAAAGCATGGTAAGGAAGACTTTATTCAGGATCATCACAATAGGCACAGGGATCACTGCAGTGAGGTCTCGAAGTGGTGGAGGGAGATTGGGCTCAACTGCGAATACAGCACTGGCCAATGGGAATTCATAGCCAAGAAGCAGCGGCAGGGGGCGGGGGGTGATTAGTGGATGAGAAACTACTGAGAGGAAATATCAGGGATCAGGGGGTTTCTGGCAAGACCAACCTAACAGGATTCTTGCTGAAGACAGGCCAGGGTGATCAGATGTCACCTGGGGGTGGTGGGGGACACGGGGCTTGATCAGATATCAAGGGTGATCAGATATTTAGGATGGAGATTCTTGTTAAACTGACCTAGCAAGATTCTTTGCAAACACTGGATTTTACAAGGAAGTGCCCGGAAGTGCCTTAGGAGAAGGTTCAGAAGCCCAACTAAAGTTTGGTCAAGCAAAGGATTTTCATCATTCTAAAATAAGAGTGATTCTGAAACCAAACACATATTAATACTAATCATAATATTTCACTATTTTATAGTCTCACTCTCTCTACTTTGTCTCTACCACTGACTGTACCATAGGATCATTGCTTTGTATATGTGATCATCTGTGACATTTGCTGCTAGAGCCCCTACTCTGCCCTGCAGCTCTGTTGACTCGTGTGTGTGCAAGGTGGGTCCTGTGTGGGGTGCTAGAGATAAGGAGAAAGTAGATCTGAACCATTAATGAAGTTTAGAGCCTGGCCTTCCATGTAGGTACGCTGTACATGTTAATTTGAATTTGTACTCATCATATGTATGTAATGATGACATATACTGCATATCTCTGTGTTATTTCATGCATGACTTTGTATGCAAATGTTCTGAGGAAAGAGTTTTGTGATGTATTCCTTCTAAAAACCATTTCAGTGCTATTTATTAATCAACAAATGTTGAACATAAAGTCATTGCTCAATCTGTGTTACACAAAGAACTCAGTTAATTCTTCACAGTAAATGTGCTCTCACTATTCTCTTCAAAGACTCGCATACAATCATACATTTCAGAATTAGGAAGCACCATATAATATATGTATTTATATTTATTTTTGTTTGGTCCATGAATGCTTCTGACACTTACAGGAATATATCATAATTAACAAAATAGGACAAAAAGACAAATCAGTCTTTTAGCTTTACAAATGAAGACATGATAAAGTTAAGAGGCCAAATATTTAAGGAACTTACCCAAAGCCACACAACTGATTAGGATCAGAGCAGAGACCAGAACCCCAGTGACCTGACTTCCCAGCCAGTGCTGTTTCTGTCTGATTGCATGTGCTGCTGTAGGGAAGGGTCCCCTCTACTGTCCATCTTGATGGAGTCCAGAGCACAGTTTCCAGAGCCAAATAGACTTGGGTTTCAGACCTGATTTTAACAGTTACCAGCTAGAAGAACCTGAGCAACCTTCTTCATCTCTGTAAGTCTCGGTGTCTTCATCTGTAACCTAAAAAGAAACATATCCTTATAGGGTTGGAATAAAGATAAAAGGACTCAGTGCTTAAAGCAGTGTCTGGAGAATAGTAATAGTAAACATGCGAAAGAAGAGTGTTACCATTTATTATCATACAGACCTAACTGGATGCTTTTTGAATCAAGGGAGGGAAATGGAGATGTTCTGGAGTTCCTCCATAGAAAAACCTGAGCAACTGTAATAATGTACAAAAAAGAGCCAAATGGAAAGAGAATCACGTAAAGTGGAAATAAGACCATTTCAGACTCAAAGAAACTTTCACTATCATCTAGTTCGACCCCATTATTTAAGAGTCTATTGTATATTTCTTCCAGCGATGCTCTCTAGTACATCTTTCCTCTTACTTCTTTAGCTGAGAAGGAATAGACTTGGTGCCTAATTGGAAAGACATGAGCTCAACTGAGTTCTTAGTAATGAAGGACTAAGCCAGTAAGGAAAATAGTAGAATGCTAAGACGGGTGGAAATTGAGGGAGGAAGTATGGAATGATCTTGTAGAAAATAAAACACATATTATTTATTAAGCAGAATGCAGGAGCATTTTTTCTTCCCATTTTCAACACACCCCCATGGGGGCCTAGGATAAACAAAAAGGCCTGGAGGGATGGAAGTGTAAGTATAGGTTCACAGCTCAGCAAATATTCCTAAATTGGGGGGTGGAAATTGGTCCTTATAATTTGTTACCAAGGCAAGTAATTTTCAATACCATTGCCCTCTTGTCATGTTTTTAAATAATGTGATGTATGTGCACATAGCAGCTTCTTATTTCAAAAAGTATAATTTCCTAGGATGAATTTGTTATAATGACATATTTAAGTTGCTATGATTCCAGGTAGTCATTTGAATAATTAGAATCAACTATTGCCTAAAATATTATCAAACTAAAGGAACTTTAATATCACTTTGAAACACTCTATACTTTTTATATCCTGTGTTATTCTAATAATTCTAAACAGGCAAAATGAGTGATCAGTGAGCTAAGTCAGCACTGGCAGGTATGGTAGAATGTCTACAATGTGTTGTTAATTTTAAAAGAAAAGTTTGGGGCAATGTTGATAATATAACACATATGTGCTTCAACAGCATATTGTTTATGTATATGTGTTAGTGGAAGGTCTAGAAGAACGCCTACCAAAATGTCGAGATTTGTGGGAGGAGAACAGAAAGACTTCCAATTTGCTCATTTATTCTTTTATTGGGTGAACAATCTTTACAATGAGTATATATTAGTCTTATCACCTAAAAGGTATTTTTAAGAAATAAAACAGTACTGCATATGTACATAACATACAAGTTCTTATTCATAATTTGACTCTTTAGGAAATTCCCTCAGATGAAGACAACTAGTTGACTAACTTTGTCTACATGGCTTCCAGGAGGATTAAAAATCTAAAACATGGGCAAGAAATCCTGATGTGAAAGAGTGTAAATAGAAAGAAAGGGTAGAAATGCTAACTTATAAATTTAATTTAACCTTATTTTGGTCAAGCCAATGGAGAATAAATTTTGGCATGCTACTCCTTCCACTTAGGGGTAGAGCAATTTGTGCCAATTCAAATTGTAAGATTTCTACTGTATATAATCAGTTTATGATATTGGAAAGTTTTAAAATTCATAAATTCATATCATACCACCAGTCCTACGTTTATCCTTCACATTTTCATGAGACCCTCGAAAAAAACTTACAGCATAGGTAAGCTGTCAACAATATTGTTCTCCATTGATTTGTGTTCCTTCCTGAAGCAATTCTACAATTGTATGTACCCCAGGGGCCAAAAAGTTGATAAGAGTCATGAGTTAATATTTACTGATACTCTGGCTTAAGCATTCTCACAACTCTATGAGGTATATAATATTACTACCTATACCTTAATAATTAAGAAAACAAGGTAAGAATTTTAAATAAGTTATAAATATTTAATACATCTCCATGCTTATAAAGAGTAGAGTCAGGATTTGATTTCAGGGAATCTGAATAGAGAACCTATGTTCTTTCCACTAAGCAAGACTGCCTTAACTGTTAAAGACACTAGAGTTTGAAGCAGCACACTTCTTAACCTATTGGTTGAATCATCAATCCTTTTGAGTGCCAACATTCAACTTTAAGAAATGCATTTTATTCATCTGTATGTTCTCACTATTTTTCTCTATGTGGTGTTTGTTACATAACCAAATGTTGAATTTAAAAAAAAAAAGGAAGAGCTTATCTAAATGAAAAATGTTCTCTACCATAATTTTATGGAGTTACAACAGTCTTGCAAACTCCTTACCGCTATATTTCAATGCTTAGCTCGGTGACCCCTCCCCCCATAGTGTAGATTAGCGGTCATAACACTATGCTTCTAGTCCCAACACTACATCTAAATATGTGACCTTGGCCATCCTCTGGCTTTTCTTTTTCTATCTATTAAATGAGAGATTTAGACTAGATAATCCCTGAGGTTGTTTTCATTTATATAATTAGATATTATATGCTTCTAAGTGATGAGAGACCAAAGAGATTTCTGCACTGATCTTTGTATATAATCAGCTGACACTACAATTTAGGATGTCAGACTATCCTCGTGGTGTTGCTGATTTGATTATGGTTAGGAGGCTGATGTGTCTCTAGTGTGCACAGTTGCAATTGACATTGATGGTATAAAGCAGTTAACAGAGCTTAGAATAGCCACAGCATTTGAATGTTCTGGGTTCCCTTCAGTGTTCACATAAACTATAAATCATCCTGATTTTGAAATCTGACCTTCCTCAGCATGAGTAAAGACTTCTGGATTTCAAAGTCATCTGTGATTCCAGAAACAGTCCCTGAATACTATTTCAGCCTCTGTGTCACATTATAAAAGCCCAGCTCTAAATAAATCTTATTGCATGTTTGGTTTAAAGGTGAACTCAAGCAAACCTATTATTGAAAATCTGGTTCCTGGTGCCCAGTATCAGGTTGTGATGTACCTAAGGAAAGGCCCTTTGATTGGACCACCTTCAGATCCTGTGACATTTGCCATTGGTAAGTTGCTTGCCACAAGAATAATGACTTCTTTATGAGAGTACTGGTTGGAGAGATGTGGTGTGCAAGCTCAAATCATTATCATCATACATGGAAAGCCCATACTAGTCCACCCAATATTCCACCTTTAGAATAAGAAACAACTAGAATTATATACTTGGGAGACATCCTTAGCATTTGTGACTTGGGGGAAAAAAATCAAAGACAAACATATTTACTTAGTTTTCAAAGGTTGTATCAGCAGAGGGAAGCTGGGCACAGTGGCGCATACCTGTAGTCCCAGCTACTTGGGAGGCTGAGGTGGGAGGATTGCTTGAGCCTGGGAGTTCAAATCCAGCCTGGGCAACATAGTGAGATTTTGTCTTTAAAAAAAGGAAAAAAAAAAATTTGTATCAGAAGAGTGAAACCCCTGGTTTTTAAGTAGACGTTTGAGGCTGTTGCTAAGATATTAATGGTTCCTTTTGGCTTTCTTTGTGTCATCCCACCCCTCTTCTTTTTAGTTCCCACTGGAATAAAGGATTTAATGCTCTATCCCTTGGGACCTACAGCAGTGGTTCTGAGCTGGACCAGACCTTACTTAGGAGTGTTTAGAAAATACGTGGTTGAAATGTTTTATTTCAACCCCTCAACAATGACATCAGAGTGGACAACCTACTATGAAATAGCAGCGACTGTCTCCTTAACTGCATCTGTGGTAATCTCCCCTTAACCAGCTGCCACACTTTCCTATGGGAATAGACCTGCCTTTATGTACCAAATGTGTCAGAAAAATTATGTGTAAATCAGATCATTTTGTAAATACACATAGGTATTGCTACTTTCAAGGTTTTTTTAGCTGGTTTTTGATTTTAGGTTTTGGGGTTCTGTTTTTGTTTTTGACAGAGGAAATTGTGTGATGTTACCTTTCACCTCTGAATGAATTTATTTGCTAATCACCATTTTTTCCTAATGAATTTGCTTAAAGTAGAATAGAGTGCTTATTGTTTCTGTTCTTGAGGAGGAAAACACAAGAGATTTCCTTAGGCGTTCAGTAGTTGATTGACATTGCCTAATTCTAATGATGACTCTTCTTGGCACTACAAGTTAAATACCCCTAATGACAGGTTATTAGAGGATGATTTTCAAGAGAACATGTAACAATTGCTTTTTCTGAGATTGGAATAACTTTTAGAAGCATAGGTCCTTATGGGTTATGCATGAAATACACAATTGCTCTCTACCCCATTGACAACCCCGAAGGACTCCTGTTCATGGATTTCTGGTCTACATTGGAAAAACAGAGTTGTGAGAGGCCACTTGTCTTAAAAATAGGGGACTATGTCTGTACAGTCACTTACAAATAAGTACTGTCTCATTTGTGCAATATTACATAGGAAATTGTGAAATGAAACCAAAATTGGAAATATTTGGCTCTGTATCTTTGAATCACATTTTTAAAACTATATTTTTAAATTAAATATTTTTTTTACTTCATTTTATTTAGGCATCATCTCATTCCAAAAAGAATTTTTTATTATGGAAAATCTGGGAAATACAAAAAGGCACAAAAAAGAAAAAGAAAAATTATTTAGTTCTTTTCATGACCTTCTGAAAGTAACTCTATCCCCAAAAATGTTATTTTCCCCCTTAGTCTTTTGTCTCCTTGCTTGTTTTTCTCACGCAGAGAATAGCTAATCTGTTGCCAGCATGGTACTACAACTTCCGGGTTACCATGGTGACATGGGGAGATCCAGAATTGAGCTGTTGTGACAGCTCAACCATCAGCTTCATAACAGGTGAGCAGTGTGTGGGAAACGGTTCCATGAGGAGAGAACATTTTTTTGAAGAGGTACAGAGGGGCCAAAACTCCAGAAAATGCCAAGCATTCACCCAATACTGATGGAGCATCAATTTCATGGAAGATAATATGCTTGATTTTGATCATTCATTATTTGTTTAGTGGATAATCTTTAAAAATTAA